CCTGCAGAGCTGCCCACTGCCGTGCTCGGGCCCGTTCCTCCCCAGGGAGCAAAGCCGCTCATAGCCGAGTTTGTCCTTTCTCCCCAGGGATCAACCCCTTCCCGCTTGCTGGACACCTCCAACTCCTTGACAGCAAACGTGGACAGACTCTGGCCCTGCTCCACCTCCTCCATCCCGTCCCCGCCCCAAGAGTCCCTGCCACCACCCAGCTGTGCAGGCAGGCGGGCGGCCCCCTCGCCCATCGCCTGGCCGGCCGGGCCGTTATCTCCAGCCAGACCTCACAGCCAGCAGCCCAGCACACCTCGCCTCGGCCCCATGGTGGGGGGCCAGGGTGGTGGAGGAGGGAGCAGGGACCCCCTTTTCCTCCTCTGGGGAAGGCCGTGGCTCTCGCAGCCGTATGTTCCCGCTTCCCCTCCAACACAGGCAGAGTCTTTGCCCGGCCCCAGCAAACACACAACCCCCCGGGAGCTGGGGCAGGATCAGGAATTGAAATCCTGTACGGCCTCGGCAGACACAAAGAGTCACCATCACTCCCAACACGCAACAAGCAGCCCAGCGTTAAAAAACAACAACAGACACACACAAGAAATTTCTGAGACGTCGAAATAAAAGCCCAGACCAGTAACTCTTAAAAATGGGAACTCTCCATACCAAAGATGTTCCTTTTTTCTTTCATTAACTGCCTTGTTTTAGCTATTTCCAGACAGGAATAGATCAATTCTTTATAAAACGCAATAGAAAGGGGTAAAAATAAAGGCAAAAGCTATTTACAGAAACCAACGGGGAGAGTACCGAAACGCCTCTAGGCTTCTCACTTCTTCTTGGGTGATTTCCGGGTGCTGGACTTGGCTCTGGGTTTTGACCGCTTTGCCTTCTTGGGCTTGGATGCCTTCAGCGACTTGACCTTAAAAGTCTTTGTCGTCTTGGCTTTCTTTGGGCTGGCCCTTGGCTTCTTCCTGGCTTTCCTGGCGGCAGATTTGGGCTTCTTTGCCGGCGACTTGGCTTTCCTGGGCTTAGCGGCTTTCCGGGGCGACGTGGATTTCCTGGCCGCCTTCTTCCTCTTCCTGGCCGGGGACTTCTTCGCCTTGTCGGCCTTGGCCAGGCGGAAAGAGCCGGAGGCGCCGACCCCTTTGGTCTGCTTGAGGATGCCAGCGGCGAGCAGGCGCCGAATGGAGAGCTTGATCTGGGCATCGGCGTGCTGGCCCACCTTGTAGTGGCTCTTCACGTACTTCTGGATGGACTGGCGGGAGGAGCCGCCGC